CACACACACACACACACACACACACACACACACACACACACACACACGGCGAAAGATGTCGTGGGCTACACATCATATTCTACACACTACTTTATAACAGACATTCATCCAGCTTTTGCTGATGGCTTTCAGGTTTCTGCTCTCATTCTCTTCTCTTACCCTACACACAGACATCTGATTGGTGGTCAGCGTGCCGGTCTTGTCGGAGCAGATGACAGACGTGCAGCCAAGGGTCTCCACAGACGGCAAACTGCGGACAATGGCGTTCTTCTTGGCCATGCGCCGTGTTCCTAAAGCCAGGCAAGTGGTGATGACAGCTGGCAGACCTGGTGAGGAACAACAACAGAACCACAGAGGAAGAGAGGATTAAAACACGCAGGAGAAGCTCAACAACTGTCCTGCAGTCGGCACAGCGGTAGGAATTTCTCGGGGGCATCTAGCATGCCACGGGCAAGGCTTCATGAGTGGAGCTCTCTAGCTTACCCTCAGGGATAGCAGCAACCGCCAGAGCCACAGCAATCTTGAAGTAGTAGACAGCGCCCCGGATCCAGGAGCCTCCATGGACCGGATCATTGAAATGTCCAATATTGATGAGCCACACGGCAATGCAGATCAGTGTGATGACCTTAAATTATACATTAGTTTAGAACTAAAGAGCATATTAACAGCAAACAATTAACCATAACTGTAATCAACATTAGTTATGATCAATCATGATTACCTGAAGTTGTTTTATTAACATTTTAGAGTACAAAAAGGGCAAAAAACAACAAAGGGAGAGGATAGTGGAGGATAAATTACCTTGGATAGTTGCTGTCCGAACTCATCCAGCTTTTGCTGCAGCGGCGTGCGCTCCTGCTCCGTTGATGCCATCTCATCTCGGATTTTGCCAATCTCTGTACTGCCACCTGTGGCCACTACCACACCAACAGCCTTACCAGCTGCAATGTTGGTGCCCTGTGTGTGTGGGGAGGGAGGGAGGGAGGGGGGTAATTAAAAGCATAATAACATTAGCCATTAAATTTATGGGCATAGGGGTAAAACTAGTTTGACAACTATTCTGATACATGTGTCACGAAGACACGGAGACTTGGTTCAACATGCAGCAAGTATCAACATGCAGCAAGTCAATAGATTGTGTTCCTAAACATATTTTGGAAACGGTAGTAGCTTCCATGGACGCAAACGTGACAATCTCTTTCGTAGATGAATAGGACATGCACATTTATTGGGATGGACATACATGTGACTGTATGTTGTCTTGCATGTACGTATTGTATGTTCATTACTTTCCAAATGTGATACAACTCTCAAATAGACAAATATAAAGAGATATAAAGAGGGATGGTGGGATGAAAACTAAAGAGGACGAGTAGGATGTTTATAGGTGTAGACGGACACAAAAGGCGTAGATAATATTGAGATGGTCTTGGGAGTCACTCACAGAAAACAGCATGTTCTTCTTGTCCTGGTTGACAGCACGCGGGTCGGGCACAGGGTCCGTGTGTTTGATCACAGACACAGACTCTCCTGCAGGAAGCAAAAACAAAAGGACATGAGAGAGGGAAGCAGAGAGAAAGTTTCTACACGGGAGAGAAAAGCAGTAGTTGTGATTCTTGGTGGACACTTTGAGGAGAGGTGTGGAAAAGGCTTTGCAGCTGACTGAGCAGGCCTGACAATTATCAAACACAGCATTGCCACTGCCTTTCAACCCCCATATCTGATGTGTGTGTGTGTGTGTCTGCGTGTTTAATCAGCTGTGCAAGGTCTGCACTGTTCTGATGGAGTAAGGCAGGGAGCATTTGACAAGCCCTATGGCCATGAATGGGGAAGGGAAGAGAGGAGAAAAACAGCTGAAACACTTAAATATCCCGTGGAATTTGCTACCAATTAAGGCAGCAGAGGAAGACAAGCGACTTAAGGACTTGAATCACATAAACCTCTACTCTCATGCATATGTCCTTCAATATTCTCCCTTTCTAATCTTTTCCATCTCAACCGCTGTCAGTGGTGCAACGGATCATAAAACTCACGGTTCGGATCACGGATCGGAGCAGCCCAAAAGAAAACAACTTTTAGAAATTTCTTTTTGCCACCGATACTAATTGCAGATCATTGATGATCCCTATTGGCAGATACAGATCCCTTCGTGAGCTGGTCTACAAGACCGTATAGTGTTTTTTCATAAAAGGCACACAATGCAAATTGTTAGGAACTAAAAGATTGTATTTGTATTGATTAAAACAAATCTGGTCATTAGTAGTTTTAATGACGTATTATGATCTGCTGAGAGCTAGTGTTAGCAGGTCACAGTTCATCTCGGATATCTATTTATGTTGTTGTGGAAATATCTCCTTCAAACAACTGAATTTATTCAAGTTTCTCACCAAGACTACATTTTTACGAAATCACATGTAAACACATGATAACGTTATAATTTACCTTCGCATCATCATAATAGAACAGAAGGGAACCTTTGTTCGTTGTCCATCAGTCACTTTACCAGCTCTCCTCCGGTCAATCTAAACACGGACTGGTTGTTTACAACGTAACATTATCAGAGATCAGCGATTGATGTCCTGATCGTATTTTTTTTACTGAATATTGGCAGATAACGATGTCAGTAAAACTATATTTCACACTGCGATGGTTATTGTAAACTGTGTAATTAATCCGTACGGATCGACAGTGGTCCGTTACACCACTAACCGCCGTCCCTTTTCCTCTCGTCCACATCGCACTCTTCGTTTTGCTATTGACTGAACAGCCATGACAAACGGAGTATTGAGGGCATGTGTGAAGAGGACATTGCATATTCTTGGTCTGTGTCTCTAGTTTGATCAGAAATAAATTATATCTTTAAATGTTTTTGTAACCTATAAGGGAAATATACAAAATGTATAATCACACAGACACAAACATGAGACAGAAGCTCACACAAAAAAAACAATAAAGAAAGGCGTTTACCTGTGAGGATTGATTGGTCTACCCTCAGCGTGGTTGACTTGATAGAAGACAGCCTGATGTCTGCAGGCACTTTATCACCGACTGTGGACAGAAACAACAAGGTTTAGGAGACACTTAAGCACCTCTTTACAATTTAAAAGCATCTGTAAATGGCACGACTACAGGTGGCTGGTTACTTTGCACAATAGCAGCGATAAAAACAGATGTTCAGATTGATCAAATACTGTATCCAGCCATGTAAAAAGGACACCTATGAAAGTAAACATGTTCTCATGAAAAGACATGATACGTACATAGAGATGAGATAAGATCAGCACTATAAACAAACAAAAGCCGGTCCACACACAGAGACTAAAGTCTTGGAAATAAAATCAATGCTTTATTAACCTAACTCATGCTCCTTGGGAGTGATCAAATAATCAAACTCCAGTTATTTGTTGGAAAGAGGCTGAGGGAAGGTCATCCATTCAAAAATATATTAATGTTCCGCTCCTCTCCTACACAGGATGCAAATAGATTGCTGCTCACTCTTTCCACTAACACAAGGGTTTAGGAATTCCTAGTAAAACAAATGTAAATATACTCCAAATTCTAAACAAGTGTATCCTCTTCAGAGAGCGGATGAGTGCCGTTAAAGCCGCTGGCGTTTATTAACTTGGCTTAAAAGGGTATCAAACTGTTTTATTCCTCTGTAGGATTTCACATGCACGTTTGGGTAAAAAGTATTTAAACCTTAGACCATGTTTGACATTCAGGTGCACATCTGCTTTAAGTGATATTCTTCCATGACTTTTCTCTTCTCAAAGCCCTTTTATGGGATGGGACTGGAAAAACAAACAAGAAGTCAGATCTAAGAATAAAACCTGCAAGTATGCGTTTAATAAGAAATCTGTAACATACATTCATGTCTATTATGCTCCTGTATAATATTGCACTGTCACAGTTTAGACACCGTAGGGTCCCCGTAGCACCCAAAATTGACGGCTGACATTTTAATGAAATTCTTAAAGCACGATAGAAAAATGCCGCTGTTGCACCAAAGTGAAATATCACTTTTCAGCTTTAAGTAAGACATCACAAAAGGTTGAACGGGTGAAGTTAAAAGGCAATATACAGCGATGACCCAGAGGCTCTTAAGAGATCCCTCTGTGGATAGTGGAGACGGACACGTAAACCAAGCCGTGGGCCTCTGCAGTGTCCTTCTGAGAGGAGAGGAAGCGAAGGGGGGGGGGGGGGGGGGGGGGGGGGGG